GGCTCTCCCGCTTTTATAGCCGAGGCCAAGGAGGGGGGGGGTCGATTGAAAGCGAATGCACTCACCGCCCAGCGAGCGACGGCCGAGTAGCGGACGAAAATCGCACCGCTGCCTGCCCCAACGTCGCTGGCGATGGCAGGCGCTAGACGACCTTTGCACCTCAATTTCTTTGGCCACACGCCAGGCGCCATTCTTCGCAAATTGCCCCGACGGGCAAAGAAAGTGAGGGGACACTGCCACGAGAAGACCAGCCGCGCTGTAACCAACGCAAGGCACCGTGGTTGGTCGCCAGCAGCACAGACAACTTGCCGCTTCTCTCCCTCTCCTTTAGCAAGGGTGGGGCACACTTGAAAATTCATCTGGTTTTCATTTTTTTCAGTAAAATCTAGCTCTTTCTGCTCTTGTTCACTCAGTTTTCAGCCAAGTCCAAATAAAACACTGTTTTTGATGATATTCTTGCATTCTTGCCATTCCTGGCACAAATCCATGGGGCAGAGGGGCAAGCCACCAACAGGGCAGAGGGGGGGAAAGGCAAAGCATGTAAATAAAAAGGCAAAAGGGGTGGTACTGTGTAGATGAAGTAGGTCTTGCTTAACACAGGAAGATGGGGTGCAACCTCCTCTGCTGCCTTGATGTAGTTGGTGTAGAACTGATCATCATCTTCAAGCTTGAGATGGGTGTCATGGCCACTCTGGACTGGTGCACAGGTGATGATGAACTGTTCTGCAACCTCTTGGTGCTCCTTGCTCACTTGCTGTTGTCAAACATGGGGCTTGTACTTGATGTTGAGGAGGGGGCTGTTGGAGGTTCTTGACTCAAGTGTAGGTGGAGGCTGAGATGGAGGAGAGCTGGAGGGCATGCTGGCAAGGGAGCTTCTTGTTGAGGAAGTGGAGAAGAGAGAGGTGATAGGGGCTCATCTGAGGAAGGGCTTTGAGCAGCTCTTGCACATTCTCCACCACTTGCTTACTCTCTTCTCCCTCATTACTGGTGTTGTTGACCCCTCCTCAAATTGAGAATGGGCAAGAGAATGGCAGGAGCTGATGAGTTGGTCTAATTGTTGGTTTTTATTGGCAAGATGGAGTTGATGTTCAATATATGGTTATGTGGTGGACAACAATCTGATGCTCCTCTTCCTGTCATCAATTTTCAGCCCTTAATCTATCAATCTCCTCTTGCATCTTCTTTTCAATCTCCTCAAAATGGGCAAATTTTTCGCTCCTTGCAGCACAAAGTGCTCTTCTTCTTCTTCTGTTCATTGGTGTAGGTTCTAGGGTGTTTAGCTGTGTGCCCCCCCTCTCCATCTTGCTCATAAAACTACCAATGCACATTGGAATTTGTATTTGTCAACTTGATGAACACTGAACAGAAACAGAGATGTACATACCAAGGTCACCTTCAGACAGGGCCAGCATCTTGGCTGCATGATGACATTTGTCCTCCATGTGGCCTAATTTGTAGTTGTGGACCTCTGGCTCCTCCACCTCATCCTCAATTGGTTGATCATACCTCCCCTCCTTGCACTTCTCCTCCTCTCCTCTCATTGTCACACCTCCCCTCCTTGTGCTTCTCCTCCCTAGTTGTGGAAACGCCCTGTTTAGCTGCAAGAGCATAGAGTAACTGAAGAGATGCCTGCTTGTTGGCACCAACTTGCTTGCTGAAAGCTTGCAGGAGAGCATTGATCACATTCTTCATCACCCCACAGGTGCTGGTTCTTGCAAGGGCAATAGTGGTGTTAAGCTTTTCAAGCCAGGCAGCTGGGGACATCATGGAAAAGTCCAGAACAGGTCTCACAGCTCACCCCATCACTAATCCCCTCCTTGATGGTCATCTCTTCTGCCTACAGACCTGGGTCAGAGTTGTTCAGTCTCAGGCCTCTCCTGATGTTCAATGCTTCAACTTTGCTCCTGGTCTGTGGGTTGCTGTGTGTGCTGATTCAGATGAGGACACCCAGGACTTTGGATTGGAAGGATCATCAGTGTCCTTTGAAAGAGGCTCAACAGCCACTGGTGAATGGGTGCTGGGCTGACCATGGCACTGAGGGAACTGTCCCAATGGGGTCTGTTCTGGCATGTGGCTTCACCTTCCATCCAAACACTGGAGTCCCACCAGTGACACTCCAAGAGATCTTCAGACACCTGTAAAATAAAAACTTGTCCTTCCTCCTGTGTACACTTCCTTGAAACCATTTTGTGTTTTATGTACACCACTTTTTTATTTTGTTGAAAAGTGCCACTGTCACTTTTTAATG